ATTACCTGCTTAAACGCTGGACATTGTAACGAGGACAGTGAAAGCTGCCTGTCCCCTGGGCGGATCTCGCGGGGAGCTGTGCGCCGCGGGCGATCGCTTCACGGCCAGAGGAAAGCACAGCTCCTCTGTGCGTCCGTGTGAGTGTCAGGCAGGCTGTGCACCTTCTCCTCTTTCCTTAGCGCCGCTGGAGGGAACCTTTGAACGACCTGCTCTTCCAGACGCACTTCAGCATCACGGCTGCCGCCGCCCCCTCCGAAAATGCCGTGCCGACATCGTGCAGGTCAGTCCCGGCAGGCTAACCCTCCGGAGAGCGCCCCCTGCCTGTACTGCGGGTGACAGCATGGGGCACAGGCGAGGGACTGGGGGCTCCCGGGGTGTCTCCATCTGTCAGCACGTTCGTGTTGGGGGGGGAGGAAGAAGAGGGGGGGTGGGGGAGGGGTCACATACAGGTTACCTGCGCCACCCCCTCGTCCTGCTCGAAGCCCCCTTCTTCCAGCTCCGTGAGGACACTGGGGTAACCCCCTCCGAACCCCGGGAATCCTCCTGTGACTCCGGAGCAGGGAGAGAGGTCCTCCGCCTGCAGCGCCCCGTCTCCGGGGCTCATCGGCTGGGCAGACGCCTCGCTGCAGGGAGAGCCGGCCTGAGAGGGAGGGAAGAGGTCAGTAAAATAAAACAGGTTTTTTTCCCCACTATTTTCCAGCAGCAATATCTGGAACAGCCAGTAGATGGCAGTATCGCCTATAGTGCGCCACCGGAGTTGGGCTTTGTGATTGGCTGTGCACTGTCCTGCTCTCTCCCTCCCTTGTAGTTTCCAGCTGGGCTGTACTGAAACTGCATTTAATCCTTTACCTTCCTACATACCATTCTAGAAACTCTTCCCAAGATCAGATGAAAGCTATTCACAGGAGTCTATTTCTAATGCCAGTGATTCCTAATGCGAACTGTTCCAATCCAATCCACTACAACCTGTCTTCTGATTATCTGAAGCGCTTTAGTCCTCTATTGCAGATTTATTGTATCTGTTCCCCTCCACCCCCCACTGACCCGACTGATGTTTACTTTACCACTGGGTTGATGTCTGGCTCGTACCTGGGGCCGCCGTGGAGGGGGCTCGGAGCACCTGACGGGTCTCTGCAGGAAGACCACCTGCTTGGTAGCCAGGTTCCCCTCACTGCAACAACACGACATGTTGTATGGAGTGCGTCATA